ACACACACACACACACACACACACACACACACACACACACGATTATTAGGACCAGATACCAACGCTGAACTAGATAAAGAGTGTATCAGTCTGGTCTGGTACCTCATAGTCTTTCTGGAGCTCCAGGGCTTTGCTGATCCACTTGAGTCTCCTCTTGTCAGACAGTTGGGACCATTGTCTCCTCAGAGCTTCCTTCAGCTCCTTCTGACTGACCTACAAACAACAACGTTTTTATTCATCTGCTGTTTCTGTGTGTGTGTGTGTGTGTGTTTCTGTGTGTGTACCTCCGGATGCAGCTTCATGTAGGTCTTCTTCTCGTGGTTGTACCACAGCTGTTGAGGAGTTTTAGGTTTCTCCGGCAGGTCGGACTTCTTCCTATCTTCAATCAGCTCTGGATGTTCCTCTCTGCAGGTCAGCTGACGTTAGCTACGCGCTAAATGCTAAACGATAAACACTAACACCAAACGCTAAATACTTTTGACAGTCAGTTCTAAGTGAGTTGAAGTGAGTTTGAAGCTGGTTGACCGTTTGTTAACAGTCAGCCGTTTGTATTTGAACTTACTTGAATCGAGCCATGTTCTTCTCAAACTCTTCTTTCTCCCGTTGAAACTCTGTGATGTACTTTTGCTGCAGTGAAGTAAAGACCAGATTGTATTTATTATTTAAAAACAGGAACACCTTGTTGATCATGGATCAGCTGACGTGAAGAGGAGGTCCACACCCTCTTCTTGTCGGGCAGCTCCTTGTACTTCTTGGACAGGATCTTGGTCAGGTCCAGGTTGCTCATCTCCGGGTGGATTTTGGCATATTTGGCTCGTTTCTCCATGAAGAAGCGGAAGTACGGAGTCAGAGGTTTTTTGGGGAAATCTGGATGAGTCTGTTTGAACATGAGGTTGAAGGTCAGATGAACTTGTTCTTGAATGTTCTTCAACAATCAGTGTTCTCATCAGAAGAGTCGGACTCACCTTCAGTTTCTTTCCTTTGTACGGATTCTTTACGAACTCCAGGGCATCTACGATGAGCTCTGTCATCGTTCTGTACTTACGAACCTGAAACACAAAAACATGACGAATTCCTGTGGTCATTAAATACATCACACTATGATATGTGCCTTGCTAATAGGCTGGAAACGTTCTAACCTCAGAGGAAACTTGACGTTCTTACCTCGGAGGAAACTTGACGTTCTTACC